GATATAGTATATGCTGTTATGTTAGCTCCTCCCGTACTGTTGCTACGGGCAACAACCGCGAGCGCGCAAAGCGCGCCGGGCTGTCTTACGCGCGTGAGACGGCCCGTTGTATGCTTATACGCGGATCTTTGTTAATTAACATCTCGATAACTATTGCGAATCTAGCAAAATGGTATAGAACTTTTCGACTTAGTTTTACTCCTTCTACCTGCCTATGAGAGATGTTAAAGTAATTGTCGGACACCCTGTATATAAAATTTCACTTTTATATATACATATGTACGTTGTTTTATATGATCCAGAATGTATGTATGCTATTTTTGTAAGACCCGATTTTTTCATACCTCTCAATAGCTATTCTCTGAATAAAAATAAGTATTACAATAAATATTATTAAATTACTTATTTCTAAAGTCTATATTTTATACAATATTACATGTTCTGTTTGCAATATTATGTATAAATTTGGAATTTAGAATAAAATATAGATTTCTGATATTTGGTACAAAATCAGATATAACTCAGATAAAATAATCATGGCTTTTTAGAATTTAGAAGATATGTTTCAAATATCTCACTAGTATTTTTATCTCACTAGTATAATATCTGACTAGTATTTACACAATCAAATATTCTAATATTTAGATATCTTCTAGATATCTTTATGATATATTTTGCTGTGAGGGAAAGTCTAATTTACTTAGCAACCTTCTTTATGAAAACAAGTTAGCATAAAGTCAAGACTGTATTTTACATAAAAAACATCCATTAAACATTTTCACGTATCATTTTTCTTAAGATAATAGAAACAAGGATGTTAAAAAAAAGTGGCTAAATTTTGAGTTGGCTCTTGAACCTTTTTTTTTTTTTACGTGGCGGAAATCTATTACGGATACCCTGGTCCTCGGGGAGGAGGGCCAGGGTTATGTGGGACTTCTCTCCTTTTCCGCGAGAAGGAGGGGTATACCCACTAAAACCACCACGGCGTGTCACCACTCGGCCCTTGGCGGGGAGGGACCCGGGAATTCCTGGCAGAGGATGCGCGCAGGTCCCTCCCTCGGGCTTAGGACTTTTCGAGGGGAGGTAAGAAGTTCCCTCCCCCACCTGATTCCTCGTAATATTTGGTGACACCGTAGGACGCACACTACGATGTCACCACTTCCGGGACCGTGTGCAAGACAAGCCAGGACCCCCATCCTGCCCGTCACGGTCCCCGCGGTGACGCAGATAGAACCAAAAACTTCGGGGTAGACGGTACCACCCCGGAATTAAAGTCACCGCGCGTAACCCACTCGTATCCGTGGATTGTCCCGCTGAAACGGAGGGTTAACAACGGGAACCGGCTCCCGCCAACGCCCACCGCCCCAGTCCCCCTCTCCTCCCGTCATGGGAGGAGAGGGGATTACTGCTACCTTGGCAGCGGGGGACCTGGACCCCGAGGACGGGCACGGGAAACGGGTGCCGCCCGACAACCCGCTTGCACACGCCTCGGAGGTTTCCAGCGGGGGACGGGAGCACGCTCCCGCTTCCTCTCCATCACAGTGGAACAAAAGGAGACTACCGCCTTCCACTTTTCCTCTGCCCCGGAGGCAATTGCCTTAAGAAGGCCTTCCAGGGAGAGGTCAACTCCGATATTGGCAGCCAGCTCTCGGCGGTCGTCTGCCCACCGTGGACACTCCTCCACGGTGTGCTCCGCCGAGTCGCTGACTGCCCCGCACGCATGGCACTGTGCCGTTGGCTCTTTGCCTATGCGACTCACCGAAGCAACCATGCCCGGTGAGCATCTGTGTTACCCTGTAGGTGAGGTGTCCGACCCCGTTCTGCAACCACACCTGCAGGTGGGGTCGAATCACCGCAACAACTTCTTGGACTGCCGCTCGAGGGTCGTCCAAGTGCTGCTCCCAGTCCAGGAGCAGCTGTTGTCGGGCCTGGCGCTCCGAGTTGACAAGGGCCTCCCGCAGGTTGTTCTCTGCAAGACCCTCCTGTAGCAGTTTGACGCGACAAGCGTACCTCGTCGCGTACATTTTTGCCAGGAGGGCCAGAGGGGGTACCCCCGCCAGCACACCCGCCGTCTCCGTGGCCACGTCTCGGAAGCCGCAGATAACGCGCAGAGCAACCGTCCTCTACGCGGCGCGAAGCTGGGCAAACTTGCTTCGCGCTCCTGCCTCTGCTGCGACTCCCGCCCAGAGCGGTGCCCCATACAGGGCCACCGCGTGGACCACGTTGACATAGAGACGACGGACCTTCTGCTTCGGTCCCCCAAGGTTCGGAAGTAGTCGGGCCAAGGAATTGAGTACTTTGCAAACCCGAGGGGCCAGACGAGCAAAGTGCTCGTCAAAGCGCCACTTCGGATCGAGGTGTATACTCAGGTACTTGACGGTTGTACCCACCTCGATCCTTGCCTCATCTACTTGGAGGCTGATGTCTCTTGGTCGTCCACGACAAGGTCCATGGAACCACATGGCCTCCGTCTTGTGAACGGCCACCTTGAAACCCAGCCCCGTTATGCGGCCAACGACACAGTTTTTGCCTACCTCGGCCAATCTTCGCGTCTCCTCTCAATCTGTTCCAGAGGCCACAACAAGAGTGTCATCCGCGTAGCAGATGACACTCAGACCTCTGGGCAGAGCGGCCTGGATCACCACATTGTACCCAAGGTTCCATAATAGGGAGCCTAGCACGGACCCTTGGGGAACCCCGCGGTACATTTCCCTCTCGTGTGGTGATCCGTACCGGCCAAAGTATTGTATTTTCCTGTCACGAAAGTAGTCTCCGAGGATCCCTCTTAGATATGATGGGACTCTGTGACGGTTGAGAGCCCACCCTATGCTATCCCAGGAAAGGGAGTTAAAAGCTTTGGAGATGTCCAACGACACCGCCAACGCCCTCCCCTTCTGCCTGACCGACGCGTCCGTGAGGGACTTTAGCCGAAACACGGCGTCTACCGTCGCCCCTCACGGAATCCATACTGGCAGTCGGCCAGATCGGGACCTACCCGTGACAGATGCTCGACGAGGCGAACGGCAATCACACGCTCCAAGAGCTTGCCTGCCTCGTCGAGCAAACATAGTGGCCGGTACGCGGACGGAGAGTCTGCAGGCCTGCCTTCCTTGCAGAGGAGAACAAGGTTGGCCTTCTTCCAACCCGAGGGGAATCAACTTGTCCTCAGGCAGTCTGTAAAGATCTGCCTGAGGCGGTTTCCCAGGGGACCTTGTCCAAAGGCAAAGCCCAGCACCTTACCGGGCACGCCGTCGGGACCGGGAGCGGTATTCTTCCGCGTCATCCGGCGGACGGCCCGGCGGAGCTCCTCTTCCGTGACCCCCAGGTCGTTGGGTCATTGAACCACTTGGTCCAACTCAGGCTCGCTGAGAAGGCCACTCACCTTTCCCGTCAGAAAAGAGGGTGGATACAACCCTCTCGAGGAGCTGGGGGTCGAGACTCTCGGTGACCAGGGGCGTCCACGGCCGCAGCTTGTTCATCACAAGCCGGGCGCTTTTACGGGTTTGCATTCAGAGTCTTCATGAGCTCCTTCCACGCTTGGGACTTTGCCTTATTGATGGCGGTTCTGAGGGTTTTGCGTGCCATGCAAAGGTCCTCATGCGCCGCCTCTGCTGCTCGGACCGCTTTGTCGTCATCCGGGAGTCGACGACGGGCGTGGGTGCACCGGTGGTTGGCACGGACGCACTCGGCCCTTAGGCCGGCAATTTTGTCCGTCCACCAGTACACCGACCTCCAACTCGGTGGTCCTCGGGAGTGTGGCATTTCGGTATCGCAAATAGCAACCAGCGTTTCCCGGAACCATCGGAGTTCATCTCGGAGGTCACGCGGCTCGGCCGGTGGAGTTGACCAGGCCGCGATCTGAACAGCATCGGACAGGAAACGTAGATCCAATTTCGTTAGAACCCACCTTTGGGACGGTGGCTTTTTTTTTGCCCAGTGGCGACCCCGCTGGCGGGCAGGGAGCACGTCGACTCTCATGGTTATATGTACCTGTGGTCCGACAAGGTCTTCATGTCATCCCTGACACGCCACTCGGACACACCGCGCGCAGCCAACAAGGGGGAGGCAAACGTTACGTCCACAATAGACCCCCCACTGCGTCTAACGGGTGTGCTGCGAGCCCTCGTTGACTACAGAGAGCCCGCAGGCCGCCAGCATGTCTTCGAGTGCCCTTCCTCTCTGATCGGTCCTGGGGGAACCCCAAGTAACGGACTTGGAGTTGAAGTCCCCCAGAACCAGCACCGGACGAGCCAAGTGCCGTCTGACGACTAGGTTGAGCTCTTCCAGGTACTCGCGGAACTCTTGGAAGGGCCTCGTGGGCAAGAAATATCCACCCACGACCACCAGTTCCCCCCACTGCACAGCAAGGAAGCCATCGCCTCTCTCCAGCGGAGAGAAGACGGTGGTCCCTCCTTTTGTGCCCCACTTTACATAAACCGCGACCGAGCCGTCTGTGGACCCCGACCACGAAGGGTGATCAGGGACGTTGTATGGCTCGGCCGCAACCGCTATAGCCCCATCCAACTCCGCGAGGCTTTGGACCATCAAGTCCTGGGCCCCGCGGAAGTAATTTAGATTGCACTGCAGGAAGAGGGATAAGGGAGCCATTACGACACCGGTGACTTCTCCACCTCCATTTCTTTTTCCTGGGCTCTACTCGTAGAGGGCTATGCAGTCCCCTCTGCTAACTCCGGCGTTGCAGTTGGCGCCTGCAAGACGGGAGTTGCGTCCTTCTCGAAGGTAGGTGCAGGTCCACCTTTAGCGGCTCTCTGTGCCCGTTTAGCTTTTCCCTTGGGGATCGGGGCACAGGCCTTACTGCCGAGTCGGTGGGCCGCCGGCCGGCCGAGGTCGGCACATAGAGGATATCGGGGGGTCCGTTTGCACGTTGCCACAACGTGCCCCCGCTCTCCGCACCGGTAACACCGGCCCCTCCTATCCTCCTCCGGCGCGGTGTACGTGCACGTCGCAATGACGTGCCCGCGTCGGAAGCATCTGTGGCACTAAAGGGGCCGCCGCTCCAACACCTCGACCGGCGGCCTCACCCACCCCACCATTAGAGATCCAGCGTCCATCACCTTCCGCGCTTCTGCAACCGGGCACTGGATCCATGCCGTGAATAGCCGATTGGGAGAAGCGCGAGCTCGGTCGACTTTGACATCTGTCGGCCGACAATCCCCAACGGCGTCTCTCACTTCTTCCGGCGTATCTGAGTTATCCAGACTCCTGACCCGCAGTTTGCCAGTCTTGATTGGTCTGGTGACTCTTACCCGGAAATTCTCGGCCAGTGCGGACATCGCGGCAAAGAGCCTGTCCGCCTTGGCCTCACTATCTTTGCCGGGGATCTCCATTATGAGAACCCCAGTTACCGCTCGTTTTGGCCGGAGCTCAGAGATCCCGATGTCCGGCAGCTTTATTTGCGCTCGCATTTCAGCGAGCGCCTTCGCGACACCTTCCTCGTTTGCACCAGGGGCGGCGATAATGACAATTGCCACCGCACGAGGAGGTTTGCCCACCTTGGGGGATGTTGGGCGCTGGCCGGGCTTGGCTCCCGGGACCGCAGCCTTTCCACCCCCGGCCAAAGGAAGCGGCGCGGTTTTCGCCGCCTTCTTCTTCCCCTTTCTTCCCACCACTTGAGACCACGATGTCCCAAGTGGTTCTTCGATAGGCCTTGGGGCGGGGGGCTGGCGAGAGGGGCCGGGCTGATCCGGCGCGCGGGTGTTGTCCCGGTTTGTCGGAGCCGCGAGTTCCCCTCCGCCTGGCTTATCCGCCTTCTTGGTCTTCTTCTTTTTTTTCCCCTCCTGAGAGGGGAGAGAAGAATTACTCTTCGGGGGAGCGTTTGGTGGACGGGCCGGCGCCGCTCCCCTTTGGGCCTTGTTTTGCGGAGCCCTTGTTCTGGGGAGGAGGAGACTGAGAAACCATCCCCCCCCCCGCGCCCAACGTTGGGCGGAGGAGCCGGAAATGGACTTGCTCCCAAAAGATACTTAGTTGGGAGCGTACGGCGTCCATTAGCCGGCTCTTTATTTGTTTGAGGGTTTTCGGGCCCTCTTGTTCTCCCGCTGTTTAGGACGGAAGGTCACAGAGTTCGGCAGATTCCCCTGGATATTTCCGTGGCGGGAGACCTTCTCTCGGGGCCTTCCCGGGTGACGGAGGGGCCGCATCGCGAAAACCCCCGCGGCATCGGCGATGGGGGAGATGTCTCTATTTTCTTCCGCGGGGGTGGGGCTGCGGTCGAGGGAAGAGTGAAGGGGTGCCGATCCTCCGGCTTCTTCTTTTGCTTCTTCACCTCCCTCAAGCGATCCATCTTGAGGGACATGAATTCCTTTCTCATGTCTGGCTCTGGAACCTAATCTAACCTAACCTATTAATGAAGCATTATTTTTTAGATCCCAAAAATGCGTAAATTCATTATTTATTCTAAATAAGATGGAAAAGTTATTAAAAAAACAATTGCGTGGGTAAAAAAAATTGCTATATTTTTTTAACCAATTGATATTTTTTAAAACAATTTTAAGGAAAGATATTATTCCTTTGCACAAAAATTTGTACTTTTTAACATGCAATTGTCAGTTCTCAAATTTTTATGTATAATTTTTTTTTATTTATAAAAAATACAGTTCTATACTCGGGCTCTATTGCTGACACTAGAACTGTGTTTATTTTTACTACAATAAAATCCAAATGTTTTGGAAAAATAAAACAAGTATTTATAAATAAAAAGTGAGAATTGATAATTGCATGTTAAAAAGCACAAATTCTTGTGCAAAGAAGTAATTTCTTACTTTCCTTAAAATTGCTTTAAAAAATATCAATTGATTCAAAAGATATAGCAATTTCTTTTAAAACACGCAATTGCTTTTTTATTAACTTTCTCATTTTATTTGGAGTAAATAATGGTGGATTTACCCATCTTTGGAACATGAAAAATAATGTCTCATTAATAGTTTAGGTTCCAGAGCCAATTCGAAATTTAGCCACTTTTTAACATCCTTTTTTTATAGTCATCTTAATTAGTGAAAAAACAGTAACTTTGTTAGTAGCAAGAGAAATTAAGGTTATCAAGAAAATGTTATAATAGTAATATTTGAGCTGCTTACGTAAAAAAAAATGATTTAATATATACTGGATAAATAATACTAATAACAAATATTTGATTATTCTAAAGATATTTCAATTTATTTTGTGGATGTTAGTGATTAGTGCGAATACGGAAGTGCCTCGCTAACTTTCACGCTTCTCGGTTCCGCGAGCGGAAAGATGTCGAGAGAGGTATATGTTCCGAGAATTGCCGGCTGTTATCTTTGACTAGATCGATCACGAGCTTGCCGCAGAGTCATTCTCATCAATTTGCGCAAATTCTCAGCGCTTCTAGAAATTGATAGGGATGACTCCCGGCACGACACCGAGGGAAAAATTTGGCATGTTAGCGAGGAAGTACTGTATTTCAAGATTGTTTTTATTATTGACATGTCAGTAATTTGTAATATAAGCTTTTTGCTAAATACTGTCAAATAACACTGCTATAGGTTAGGTTTAGGTAACTCGTGTTTGGAAAAGTGAGAGTAAATAATGTGACAGTATTTGGTTGACTGACACTAATTAGAGTGTCAGTAATTAAACTATAAAGTGTCAGTAATAGATTAAAAAATTCTTTTTTATTTTGTATATTTTTAATTCAAAACAAGTGTTTTTAAAGTTCTCAATCTTTTATTAAAACCATATTAACAATGATATAGTAAAACATAACAATGATAAGCCACAAAACCATATACTTCTAAACCATATACTGCCTAAAAAATGCCACATAATAAACAATAATGACATTGTAAATTTTTAAGGTATTAATAATTGGATTATTTATCCGGGCGTGTTTTGTTTGACCACAATACGATTCGACACCGCTTGTTTCAACATCACATTATTAGACACAAATCTATTGGACACAAAATTATTCGACGCCACATTATTCGATATCGTACAATTCAACACCGAATTATTCGAAACCATACAATGCGACGCCAGAATATTCGACTATATATCAATAGAGATACGAACTTCACGGTTCGTCACTTCCGAGTCCGCGTGATATTACACCGCGCAAGCATACATGCACAAACGGTAGAAGACAGACACTTTGATTAACTCTCAACGGACGGCGTGTTTTTCGGCACCTTAATTTGCCGGACATTGGTCGTTTTCGACTTGGGCTTTTTAAAAATATTAAATATTTCTAAAAAAATATGAAACAATGTGTATATACTCTTTAAACTGTCTATTTTAAGACACCATCATTAAATTTAGTGAAAAAAAAAGTTTTAATTCATAATATTTAGCAAATATGACAACAAGAAAATTACTTTCTTCAGGAAGTAATTTTGCTCCAGACAAAAACGACCCATGTCCGTCCGTTGAGAGTTAATTAAAAAAATAGAAACCAATATCTTAAAAGATATGGCACACACACACACACACACACACACACACAAGAAGTGTAAGTCCGAACATGCAATCTCCACGCTATGCACTTTGAGTAACGCTAATGCTCGTAATTCTCTAACTTTCAAGCCTTTTAACTCAAGAAGTACTTAATAAAAAATTATTTTATTATACTGTTTTGTAAAGCTCTTGAAATAAGCTATAAGAAACATGCAATTAAAAAAAGGTATCATTTAAAAAATTTAATAAATGAATGATAAGTCGTTGAGAGCCATTTGCTGGATGTTATGCGGGAAATATGTCTATATATATATGTGCGTGTGTACACATATATAATCAAATTCACGTTTTTCACGTGAGTTTTTTTGAATTGTAATTACAATTCTAATAATCATATAGGATGCTCAATTTGCATCTCGTATATGAAGAACCCCGAATATCCCCCCAAATTAATTTAAAATATTGCGAAAAAAAACTCCTCAGCCAGGAGTCGAACCTGGAATCTCCGGCTTTCCGGGTTGTCGCCTTCCCTGTTAGGTTACCGAGGCACTTGGAGTTTGTTATTAGAATTGTAATTACAATTCAAAAAAACTTACGTGAAAAACGTGAATTTGATTATATATGTGTACACACGCACACATATATATATATATATAGACATATTTCCCGCATAACATCCAGCGAACGGCTCTCAACGACTTATCATTCATTTATTAGTTAAAGACTTCACAGAGCCCGAGATGAATCTCAGTTTTAATTGTTAAATTTCACGCTGTTGCACGAAGCGTTATTACAGTATCAAAAACATCTTCAAGAGATGTACATAGTATTGCGAGACAAACTCCAAGTGCCTCGGTAGCCTAACAAGGAAGGCGACGGCCTGGAAAGCCGAAGATTCCAGGTTCGACTCCTGGCTGAGGAGTTTTTTCGCAATATTTTAAATTAATTTGGGGAGATATTCGGGGTTCTTCATAAACGAGATGCAAATTGAGGATCCTATATGATTATTAGAATTGTAATTACAATTCCAAAAACTTACGTGAAAAAAGTGAATTCGATTACATATGTGTACACACGCACATATATATGGGTAATTCTCAAAAAAACGTAATCTTCGTGGACTGTAATCTCCATGGTATATTGACATAAAAAACATAGATAAGTTTTTTATATTGCATAGTNACGTATTCATATTACGAATGGTGACTTAAAATGGTATGAAAAAACATAATTCACCGCTATCCGTTAATTAATAATAATTATTTTTTATCAAAACTAAAAGTTGAAATTTACGCGTTCACAGAGAATCACCCATATATAGACATATTTCCCGCATAACATCCAGCGAACGGCTCTCAACGACTTATTATTTATTTATTAGTTAAAGACTTCACAAAGCCCGAGATGAATCTCAGTTTTAATTGTTAAAAAATTTAACTTGACCTTCATATGACATTGCAGACTTTATCCAAAATTTTCTTATTAACAGTAGGTACATTTTTTTAAGTCTTACAACTTTGCTTTTTACATATGTTTTGCTAGATACTTAATAGTTTTTGAGATTTTTTAGCGTTCCGGACTTTTTGGGAAGAACCCTGTATACAGAGTATCCCATTTAAGATGACATAGCAAAAAATCTTGTAGACAACTAATTTAACAAAAATAAGCTGCTACATGTCTTTCAGTATTTTGAGCGAAGATTCAAATAGCACTACTAGTTTTTTAATGCGTGAGCGTTTTCAAGGTCATTTAAAAGTCAACTTTTTTTTATATTGTAAATCTACACTTTTTATTTCGGAATCTTAATCTACAGAAAGCAACGCACAACTTTTGTCTAAAACAATTTTTTGTAGGATTTTTGTATTTTAAGATGTTCAGAGAAACAGCTCTTCAAGTTTTTGCTAAAACAACATGT